TTCATCTATTGAGTAACATCTGCTATTATTCAGTAGAAAGTAGAAAATATACACTAAACCTTTATTAATTCAGAGGTTAGAATAACTTAGGGACTATAATGAATGTGTTTTTACATATACTGAGGTATTAATATTAAACAAAACTGCCAAGGAAATGTTTAAAATACCTGAACTGCTTTTAGAGTGTGATATTTTAGAAATACATATTTATAACTAACAAGATAATTACAAATGTTCTTATCAGTGCATTAAGACACCTTTTCCTAAGAATCCCTATGCTACAATTTTTTAGCCTATTTCTAATATTATGTATGTACAGGAAAAGAATCTAAATGTTTCACACAATATTTAGACAATACTGAGAATGAGTCTAATAAACTCTCATTTGCTGAAAAAATTACCAGTTAACTAGGAAATATATATAAATGTCTTTATTAAGCAGTTTGCCCAAAATTTAGGTAACTTAAATAAATAAAAATATTTGTTTTCAAGTATTACTTTTTACTCTTTCAGGCTAATTTTCATAATTAACGCAAAACTAATAATTTACCCTATTTTGGCATCACAGTTACACCCTAGATTAAAATCTGTTCGACTAATAAAAAAAAAATTCTTAAGTAAAAACATGTTCAGAGTATGTATGTACTCAGTATGTATGTGTATGTATGTATAAAAATATCTTTTTTAAAATATCCAATTTAAAAATTTGTTGAGTAGCTCTCAGGGAATTAAATAAAATCTACAAATATTCTCCCTAAGTTATTCATTCAACAAATAAATTGATATCTTTTCAGTCACATTAATTTATTAGTTCAAACGACGACTAGTTCAATCACCCACTGTCACACATTCAATCTGAACTTGTGACACATCCACTCAGTTCCTGAACTGCAGAGTGCTCCATCAAGCAGATATTTCTCTTCTGGAGTAAGCTAGGGGATTATTTTGACCTTTTCTGGCACCACAGAAACATCAGAAGTAGATATCTTTCTCCTGGAAATATGTAAGAGGATTATTATGACATTTTCTTGGCATTCCAGAAACATTACTGACCTAAATATGTTGCTAACTTTTGTGTTAATGTGTTATTGCCCACTCTATACATATAGATTGAAAAGGAGAAATGGCACCCTTGTTCCCTTCTTTAAATGTGCAATAAAGTAGCAGCTGCACATACTCACACACATCAATGGCTCCTCAGTCATCCTCCCCAAATACTTCTTCTGCTGTTGATCATTTCCAGCAATAATAACAGGCATTTCCTACCAAAGAGTAGTGACATTAAAAACAAGCTATTTTTATTAGGTATGTAAATTCAGAGATACTATAATTTAAAAAAAGAGAACTGTTTTCCCCCAATGGCTAAGTCCAAACAACTGGCCTTTATTCGAACTCTAAGTTAGAGAGCTAACCAATGAGGAAATAAATCTGTTAATCCAAGTATTTTCATAAAATTAAGTTATATGGGTCTTGGTATGTAATATGTAAAAATCTACTGTAGTAAAATGCACAAATAAACAATTAAATTTAAGATACATAATGCATATATGATCAGGCTACCTAAAAACTGCTCACCAAATTTCAACACTGCCAGCAGTGGCAGCAAGCCATCCTGAATTCTCGTTTTGGGCCTTGCTCTTACCTAAGAAATGCCACTGAAGCAGCAGCCAAAGTATTACAGTGTTCCCACAAGGGAAAATAAGGCTCCAAGTACCCGACACAAGGTCAGAACAATGAACTCTTGGAATAAGACATCCAGGCTTCACTGAAGAATCCTGAGTTCCTTTTTAATTTAAAGAAAACTGTGTTCCACCAACTAACCTGAGCTAGTAGTACTGTCTCATTAACAACAGCTTACTTAGGCAATTTTCTAAGTAACTTACCCCCAAAGAATTTGCTTCAATAGCAGTCTGAACTCCTGTACACCCATAAGCCAATTCTTCAGTAATTAAACAGGCATCAAAACTTCCAAGTCCAAGACCTCCTACAGTATCAAAATGTTTTAAGAGCATAACATGTAGTACATTTCAACTGAAATAAAAGTGAACTATTTTAATTACTCCCAACATCTATAACCCAAGAAACTAAACATGTATTTTGGCTAGCACAGTAACAAATTATACTTCTCTAAATAAAAGTTTTGAAAATGTCAAAAAATTATCTTGCTATTTGTAATCTGGACCCGTCTTCCTGTTTCAACTTAATTTTGCAAAAACTTGACTCAACTCTAAAACTTTGACCCTTTGACTTGACGAAAGGAATGAAAACCTCACAGAAAAAAAAGTCTTAATAAAATGTAAAATCAAAGGTACAATTAAAATGCAAAAACTAACTCTAGAGAGAGAGAGATTACCAAGGTTTAGGATCAAGTTAAGATCGGAACCTGTTGTAAAGAAGGAAAAATGCCTCAAAGCGTTGAGTACAAAGCTTCTAAAAACTGCAAATACCAAAGTCTTAACAGAGAGACAAAGGTAGAAAGCCATTATTTAATGGCCACAAATATTTTAAAGAATGACTGAGTTTCACAATTTTTCTTGTTCATATGCATTCTAGGATTTAAAATGTGAAGCAAGCTTACCACAATGCTCTGGAATGTGTGTATTCATTAAACCAAGTTCCCAGGCTCTTTTAATTAGGGGGACAGGGTACTAAAAAAAAAAAATTAAAGAAAAAAGCCAGTTATATTTAAAATCTAGATACTTCGATTATACTGTCTTGTAAAAGATTTTTCTCTCCTTAAAATGTGTATACCTACCTCGCCAGTTTTATCATATTCTGCAGCAACTGGGATTATTTCCTCCCTGGCAAATTTACGAGCAGTAGCTTGAAATTCTTTCTGTTGTTCAGTGAATTCTAAGGAAAAGTTATTCAGAAAACATTAAAATAGGATAGTTACTTGAGGGAAAAAATCCTATTGGATCAGAATGTAGAGATTTATAGCGGAGATTTTAACCTCAATTAACCAGAAAATCAGACTACTTTTGAAATGTGCTTTTGAAATAAGCAGGATTTCACTGTATAATATACATAAATCTACAACAAAGGAGCTAGGTAGGATTTCTAGCTTTTACAAATAAGCAATAGATACAAACTTGAGTTTTTCTCTTCTACTTGGTGAGGCCAAAAACATTTTTTTAACTTATAACTTGTTCCTAAGCAGATTTATCAAATGTTTACTAACACTGAAATGAAACTATTTAAGACATGCCTGATCTCAAAAATCAATCTAATTAGGGAGATGGACTATGCTCGGTGCCCATAAACCAATAAAACTTGTTCCAAAATATCACATAAGAATATCAATACCATAATTTCAATTTCACTCCTGCTTTAAACTCATATTTAGTTTATAGATTAGCAAAAAGCAACTGGTAAAAGTAGTGGGAAGGTTTCTCTGCTATAAAGCTCTGCTATAAGGATATAATAAGTGGTGTCCAAACAATTCAATTACATAAAATATGGTATTGTGTTATTATAAAATTAATGAAATAAATATGATGGCTGGACTGAGGACAGGAGCCAATGACCACTGCATTTTTCCACACTATCACAGGGTTTTAATGTGCTTGCATCCAACCTCAAAGAACAAGTAAAATTTAAAAGAGGTATAGGATATTTTGGACAAGAATAATGAGAACAAAAGAATGTTTAAAGATTATAGTAGTAATTTTTATAGGGATGTGAAATATAAAATACAAGACATTCGAATTTTGATGTTGAACTAAATACCTAAAACTAAATTTCATTTGATAGATAAGGAAATAAAAGCCCAAATTGAGGAAATGATAGCCCCACAGACTTACAATGAATTAGCAGTAAAAATACTATATTTAGCTTCAGTTCAGTGTTCTCTGCTTCACAACTTTACTTCTAAAACTGGGTCCAGTCAACATCAAGGTTATGGGTGGGGAAAGCGTAAGGGAGACAGGGATTTATTATGTATTATTTGAGAACCTAGGTCCAAACACTATGTGCTAGGAACTTTGCATATATAATTGAATCTCCAAATAAATCCTGTGTTGTAGATATAATCCCTGTTTTATACATAAAGAACCAAAAGAAATTGGTCATAGGTGTTACCCTATTCCTTTACTTGAGCTTCATAATCTCCCTCCTAAATACTTGTATCTATCTAATTCTCTGTCACTCAGCAAACCACCATTTCTCCTTTCAATTGGGTCTCTTACAATTGAGTATGAATCAGTATGTGACAAACTGAAAAAAAGACAGTAATCATACTAAACCTATGCTAATCTGAATAAGGAATTAAGAAGATCCAGTGCCCCATAGTGCTGTCCTTATATTGCTTGAAATTTTTCATTTAATTCTGTTTAAAAAAAAAAACTTTATAAGGGGCTAACAATAAAAAAATAACATAAAAAGCAGAAACAATAACCCTGGAGAGCTCTGAGTTTGTCGTTTGTACCTGGGTCACAGTTAATTATCTCAGCTGTCTTTTAACTATTTTCTGAAACCAAGTGAACTGGGAAAATGGGTTTTTAACTAGAGGACAGGTAATAATTTTGAAGCAGGAAGCATTTTAGGAGGCAAAGGATGCTAAAATAGAAATTAACATTTCAAATTTCTTGCCCAGGGCCTTCATTTTAAAGAGAAGAAGAGAAGGAAAATCGTATTCTTCTCCCCTCCAACACCACATGGCTCCCTGATCACAGAACATCTACTAGTACCAAAACGGCAGTTCTGATATATTATGGCCAGGTTACTAAGTTTGTTGGTAAACATAGTCCAGACAAATACACACACAGAGCTGCATATATAGAACAAGTATAAGTTTAAAGTCAAAAGACAGAACAAAACACATACCAAAACTAAATCCCAACCGTGGTTCATGTTTTAGGGCAGCTTTTGTATGTTGTGATCTCCAGTCAAAACGAGTAAGACTTCTCAGGACCTGTAAAAAACAATATTAATAAAATAAATTTAAGTTAAACATTAAATAAGGGAATACTGACAATTATGAGTACAGCAACGTGACCTTATTCAAGAGCATAGTTTAAGTCATTACTTAGATGCCTTCAACTACAATTTAATTTCTATATTAAATAAACCAATTACCAGATATTTAAACACCTATCATAATGGAGTTTTGTTTTTTTTTAAGCAATGAAAATAAAACTAATCAGTAGTATTTGCACTACTAAAGTGGAGTGTTTCCAAGGCAAATAGTCAGGGATAGCAGTAGACTCAGGACCACTGTTCTGGAAATCTGACCTACAACCTCTGAGACATTTGTGATTGAGGAGCTGAGGTGAAGGGACACAACAGGATGGTATTGCGCTGTGTGCACGAGTTGCATTCTCCATCGACTTTGATACCCTGTCTCTGTGAGCCTCACAGGTATGCCTCTGGAAATCTCCCACTAGGAAGATCTCGTTTTCTAAAATACCTCACTCTACTAACAAAACAAATTAACCTAAAACCATGTTCTGTTTTTTTCATTTCCCATATGCCATTTTCTGCTGTTGTCTACAAGCGTTCTTTAAAACCCCCAATTTCTGCCTTCAGAGTCAATTAACTTATACAGCAATGACAAATATGGGGCAGCAATCCATGAGAATTAGTCTAAATTCTAAAACTGCTACTTTTTTGGTCAAGGGCATAACTTTCTTCACTTATTTAAATAGCAGTCATGTGACAATGTATCAATATTTAAGACAATGACTAAGACAATTTACAAAACGTGTGACACAATACTAGAATATATAGACAAGCTTCAAAGAGTATTCTACAGCCGGCTTCTTTTTTTCAAACGTATGTAACGTGGAAGTAAACTCCATATTGCAAAACCAAAAGCGCATTAAACATATTAAGTATCCAAAGGAGCAACGGCTCCATTTTCCTTTTCTAGTGCCTTCGCAGGCACCCAAGATAAGATTATCTGAATTCTGCACTTCCTAGCATACATCAACTGCAGAATGACATTTACTTTAAGATTTCCTTCTTGGGCTAGGGATAAAGAGCGGGTAGACGAGGTTTTCTCGGCGAGATACTATGCCCGTTCAGCAAAAACACGGCTCTGAGGTTCTGCCTAATTCAGAGACAGGTTCACTTAGGAAAAGGATGAGATTCTCGGGGAAAATATTTGGAGGTTCCCGAGCCAGAGAAATAAGAATATTCCAAAAAGTGGACGCCACTGTATAGGGACAGTTGCCGAGAGGATAAGGGCAAATCAAAACCCGGGATGAATTCTGTCTCATGGAAAGAGGAGGGGGTAGGCGTGAAAGCCAGACCAAGGTCCAGAATCCCCGCCCGCAGCCACCCGCAGGGCGCGGAGGGCCACAGCACCCCGGCGCAGGCCCCTGCCTCATCACAGCTTCCTAGCGTCCGGGCCATGGCTACTTTCCGCTCACGCCCCACTTCCTAAACACCCCCAAGCTCCCCAGCCCCACCCAGCCCCGCTCTCTCTCTCACCGCGCTGCTTCGCCTAAACAACACTGCCATGTCGACTCGTCGTCGGATTACTCACTCTCACCTACTCGGCAGAACCAAAACACTGCAGGGCTGCCCGTGAGCGGGAGACTTCGCACCCGCCTGTCCCCGCCCACCTTACCCGCCCACCTTATCTCGGTGGGCGGGGCCGGGGGAGGGGCGAGGTAGCCGAATGAGAGGGTAGGAAGGAACCAGGAGAAGCGGGGGCTGAGTGCTTGCTTGGGGACCTTGTATGCGATGTCCTTGCGATCTTGGGAGCGGGTTTAACGCGCTCCGGGGTTCTGACATGTCCCGAGGGGCAGTCCCCGACAAGACTTCGCTGCCATCTGGTGCGGAGTTCACACGACGGGCAAGCTGACGCTAACTAACGGCGTCGTGGGGAAGGAAGCCGGAAGGCCGCGCTGCCGCCGCACGCAGGGGCGGGGAAACGGGCGGGGCGGGCCGGGAATCTGGGTGAAAGGGCATGGCCTCTGGAGGCTTAGAGCTGTGAATTCCCTATTGCGCTTCGAACTTGACCTTTACCTGGACAAACCTGTCAAATACAAATCACTTCTGCCTTAGGGATTCAAAGTAGCACCTTTATTCTGAAACGCTGAACCTAAAGGGAAAAGATGTTTTGTGCTTCAGATCATTTAAGCAAAAGGGAATTTAATCACTTAGGTAAATACACCCTTTCAAAATATTACCAAGGCTATTTATTATTACCGAGGCTATTTATTACTGCCCACGTGCAGATATGGAGAGTGTCCTTGTACATAACGGTGCAAAATGAGCCCATCTAAATCTAGCTCGGCGAGCGAATGTTGGAAGTGAATGTCTGCCTGAAGAATTCTGCATAAAGTCACCCTCTCTTCCAATTAGACGGAGTTCTGAGATGATAACTATGATACTAACAAAGCTCGGAGGATTTGTAAAGTTGTCCAGGCTTGGATAGCTCTTCGTGAAAGCTAAAAAGCCAACAGTGTAAATGTTGCCAATAATCCCCAGGACTTTTCATTTTTCTTGCTACCATCCTAGTTTGGGCACTTTATCGCACACCCCTAAATCTTGTTACTACTTTAACTATCTTTTTTGCCTACTAAAGGCTGTCCATAATCTCATTCTAATTTAGCTGTTTAATTCCCATGTCCTGTTATTGTACTCCCCTACAAGAACCTTCCACTTTGTCCTCTGGGAATTTATAATGTGTTTATTCAGGCTGGGTAAAAGGCAGAATGTTAAGTGCTAAATTCATAATAAAAGTACCAGGGAAAGAGAACTCTACCCTGCAATCGGCAAGAAAGCCTTCAGAGAGGTAGCTAAAACACGTAATGGACTGTTAAAGATGGGTAGGGTTTGGCTACGCATTGCTTTTTTTTTTTTTCCAAGTTCTTATTCTGAACATTTTAAACACAGAAAAGATGAACAAAAAAATGTACAGAATCGCTCATATGTATATCACCTGAATTTAAAGAATGTTATTAGTTGTATTTGTTTTAATATATGTTTGTGTGTATCTGGTTGTTTTTGTTTGTTTTGTTTTTGTCAGAACCATAAATTGTAGACATTAAGACACTTCACCTCTAGCTATACATCTTCTGTGAAGACATTGTCCTATGTAACCACAAAATCATTATCATACCTAAGAAAATTAACAATTATTCTCTAATATAACTTAATATACAGTCAATATTTAGATTTCCCCAGTTGTCCCCAAAATGTCTTTTGTATGTATGGCAGGGTCCTCAAATAACTGTAATTTTGATGATAAAATGCCATAGGAACTTAACTCTTTTTTATATCAATTGACCCATGGCAAAATTGGTTTTGTTATACATCATTTCAATTAAAGTTGCAGAGCTTATCAACAATGTTAAGCAAAGACTTACTTTGCTTATCTTTTGAACCAGGATCCTATCAATGATTGCCTATTGCAGTTGGGTTTTTCTTTAGTCTCTTTTAACCTAAAAATTTTAATCTAATCCCTTTATTCCACACCCCCCCCCCAATAATTTTGATTTTTTTTAAAAGAAACCAAGCCAGTTGTCCTGAAGAATACCCTAATTCTGAGTTTTCTGTTTTATTTATTTTTGCTTCTAGACCTTGTATTTTCTATAAACTGCAAGTTACTATATGCTTGAGTAGTTTAGATTAAATATATTTGGCAAGGATACTTCTTAAGTCATACTGTATAATTTATGTTTATATCACATTAGGAGGTGTTTAATGTCAGGTTTGTACCACTATTAGTGATGTAAAATTTGATCATTTGATTAAGGTGCTGACAGGCAGTTTTTTTCTATGGTAAAGGTATATTTTTGCCTTTGAAAGAAGTAACTTATAGGATGATTCATATTTAATATCATCTTTCTCCTAAATTTTTCCCAGTGGTAGACATGTAATCAGCTCTCAATAAATACCTTTTTAACTGGGCACTGTTCCATAAAGCTTATCCCATTTTTTAGGTGAAATAAATTAAATATCTTCCCAGTGTTCCTTTGTCTCTTGCCACTTCCCTTTAACTCATGGGAATATGACATAAAGACATGCCATTTTTTTGGTTAGTGGTTCTTAACCTGGGGCCCTTGAATAAACTTAAGGCAGATCTGAGAATCCTTTGGAGTTAAAAGAAAAAAAAATTGTATGTATGCTTACGTTCCTGAGGAGAAGATCGTAGCATATAGGAAAGTAAGAGTTTATGAGTTCAGATGCCAGTAGTTTGGTAGATGTGATACAGGGAGTACTTAAAGGTTTTCTTCTGATTATTTCTGTTTCTCAATAAAATGGGAAGTAAGGTTATTGGCAGAGACTGAAGAAATGTTAGAAATTTGAGGACAGAGGAAAGAGTGAAAAATTGTGTCAGTATAGACTATTTCCTTTTTCTTCAAACTTGCTGGGAGTGAAGATATGAAAGGATGAGAAACAGTGCAGGGGTGGTAGGTTCAATGCATTGACATGCCTAGTGAGTTTGAAAAATTAACAGAACTCCACTATTGGAGAGAATGAGCTGAAAAGAGGGTAGTAGTCAGGTGGAGGAGTGCAGTTATAGTAAAGATGAGGTCTAGAGTATCATCATGAGAGTAAGTAGTTGAAGCAGAGCAGAGAACAAGGTTATTATGGGAAAGGGAGTCAAAGAACTGAGAGTCTAGCTTAATGGAAGAATCATCTCTGTGGATGTTGCAATTATTAAGAATTGTAACTGTAGTTTGAGATAAAGTGACTCTGACCCAAGTATGAAACTCTTTGTAGCATACATAATTTTTTCTCTCAGTTAAGTGGGAAAAATGATAAAATTGTAATTATAAGCTGACATATTTGGTACAAACCAGCGTTAACCTCTTTGGTACCTGATTTCTTTCTCCTCCATTCCTTTTCAAATATGTAGTACTCTTGTTCTGTTTTCCCTAGAAATGGTAATACAGCCAGGCACACTACATTGTTATCATGAAAGATGATTTCATAGAGAAGGAATTTATGTTTATACCTCCACCAAGCCTCTGGGAGTTACTTAAGGCTTTGTGAGCCCTGGCAATGAAAACTGAGTCTCTCTTTCAGTGACTCCTCTATTTTTAGAACAAAGGTCATGCTTAATAAATGTTGACCCGGCTTTAAGCACTAGATATAGCTATTTGGCTTAGATTCCAGGAACTAACCCTTATGATGAGGCTTTTCTGTCTTGAAGACCTGTTTTGTATGTGAAGGATTCATCTGTATAATTTTTAGGTGAACCTCGTGAAATGTAGTCACATTGGATTTTATTCTTAACTAGCAGGCTCAGAAATTTGAAGTGATCAGTTTCTCCCAAATAAGATCAGAGTATAAAATCAGATTCTAGTTTGGACCACAAGGAGCTGAGATTCACCAAAGGATAAAACCAGTCTTTACTGTCTAATATACATTCATCAAGCCAGAAAAGAGAGAGAAACAAGTTAAAGACAAGGGCAGAATTTCCTGGGTCCTGGGAACTGATGGAAGGATGACAAGAATGCTTGTAAGGTCAGATCTCATGGATAGTGCTTAGTAACTTTTACCTCCACAGGGAAAGGTCCTTTTGGAGCCAAGGAATAGAGCACAAGGCAGAGCTAGAGGGATGGAAGTATCCTGGGAAAATTCTAAAATAAATTGAAAATACCTCAGTACAAGCAGCAATAGAAATAGAATTCTTACTTCAACCAAAAGTCTGCCTAGCATGGTCATATAAGGTGCTGACGGACTACCTGTGGGTACCTGGCTCATGACTTCATTTCAGCATGAACTTTATCTACTAGAGATGTCAAGCACTGGCTGCTCTCCTCCTGCCTCCTGTGGGAATCTGCCCTGCCTAGAGTTTATGTTCTCCAAAGCATTTGTGTTCTGAGCTTGGTGTAAACCTTGTTACCTCTTGCTCACAGCTATTTGGACTAAGGGATGGGCACTATGACCTAAGGAAAGTCAGTTCATGAGCTGGTCAGCACGTTTTACTAATGGCATGGCACAAAAAAATTAATTTAGGAAATCAGATTGCCTGTCTTGAGAATCTGAATCAAAGAAACAGAGAAAGAGTTATTTGTTGTTGGTGGTGGGTAATCCCACCAATTAGAGAGCTCATGATGGCCATGTGGAAGTTACACGTCATGGAGGAACAGAAACTATGAACATTTAAAGCTAATGGGTAGAGAAGAACAGAGAAGACAAGTGGAGAAAAACAGGATCACGAGGAAAAAGGAAAATAAAAACCTTACATCTTCAAATAGCGATAGTTTAGTTGTTTCCAAGACCTGCCCTCCAGTCTCATTTGTCATTATACCCTGTTGTACTTACGTACCTTGTCCTTGGAGTTCTCATAAGAGTCCAGTTGTATCTTTATGTGAAAACTCCTTGAAAGAGGTTGAACAGGTCTTTGTGCCATGTTACCAGGAAAAGTAGGAACCCATTTCTTTTTCCAGGGATCTGTGCTAATCAAGCTAAATTGTGCCTAGTTACATTCTCATTCTGTAAACTTATTTGTTTCTATGCTTTTTGTCTCTTATTTAACAGCTTTATTAAGTATACTTGTTGCACAACTGCACATGTTTAAATTGTACAATTTGATGACTTTTGACATATGTATACACCTGTTGCCTTACAGCCTCATCCTCGACCGCCCCTCCACA